TTGAGTTGTAATTATGTTGATGTTGAATCAATATTGATCAACATTAAATCAATATTGCACTTTGTTGCAATGTAAAAATGTCCGCGAATGTTGATTTATACGTGTAAAGTCTACACAATCTAACATTGATCCAAAATTGTTTCATCATCGTTAAATCTATGTTGATGAAACATTGATATTATATTGATATGTATATTTTCAATTTTTGCACCACTCTTCCACGATTTTAAGTATATTTCACTTTTATAATACAATTTTAAATTGCCTACTATTACTAATTTATAAATATAATTATGATTTAATATAGCAAAATAAAACATAATTTAGTACAAATGAGAAAAATAAGGAGCATATAAGCTGAGCTCAATCTTCTAACTTAAAAAATTTTTATTTATTAAAGTAACAACATTAAACATTTCAATATATAAGTATCCATAAGTTATCTTCAGTGACATTTGAGGGAAAATATAGAATGTATAAATCTTAAAACAAATTTGTGTTACATACTTAAAATTAGATATTGTTATTGGACTTACATAGAAACAATCAAAAAGGTAAATAAAAAAGTCTCTTAGTATTCTTTAGTATTCTTAGTGTTTAAATTATATAAAAACCAATTAAAGTACAAATCATATTAAATCATATAAATCGTCAAAACGTATTAAAATTAGTCAGATAAAAAAATAAAAAACAAATAAATTAAATAAATTATATAAATAAAAAATAAAAATTATTAATATTGAATTGTAAAATTGTAAAATCATTATTGTTGTTTTATTCGTAGTTTGCTTTATTGAAATATACTTTTACTTACTAACCACAATAAATCATATTAGACTCCGCTATTCGTTTTCGCATCGCCTTCCACTACTCTCTTTGTTAGGCGCACACACGTCAGAGAGAGACAAGCTGCCACGCTTATCAACAAGCTTACCAACCCAAAAAAAACGCTCGTGCGTGCGCACAGTACATTAAACAAAAAAAAATCAAAATAAAGTAAACCAAATCGCGTCGAAATGAACCAAACAATTATGTCCATAAAAATGAGTGAATAAATCCATGAGCGAAAAGTCGACTAGTCTGTATCAAATAGTAATCTGTTGTCAGAAAGACGTGTAAAACAAACCGATACAGGATTGAAGGAAAGAGGCAGGAAAGGGAATAGGAGAAGGAGAAAGAAAAAATAGTGTGTAGTGGAGACAGAACAGTAGGAAGAGGAGAAAAGAAGGAGTTAAATCGAGGATAACTAGTTAAGAACAGGCAGATAATTGTCAGGCAAAAGATCCGTGTCGCTCTGTTTATTGAGGCCATATAATTGTTTTTGATGTAAATAAAATTACAATGAATTTAATAAATAGGCAACTTTTCTTGTTCGATTTAAAAAAAAATTTTAATGAATATGTATGTACATACATATACGAGGGTAGTCTGAAAAGTTTTGACACGAAGATGACGTTACTCAAAAACATTCTATTAGGTGTACAAAAAAATTCTGAGCTTTTTTTGTAAAATTCAATCTTTATTCAAAAACAAACAAAAAAATATTAATCAGCGAAATATTCCCCGTTTTCATCAACGACCTTTTGCCATCTTTCGGTTAGCTTGCGAATTCCTTGACGATAGAAGCTCACCGGCTTCGAAGCGATAAAATCATCAATGCATTTTCGTATCTCTTCAAATTTCACGAAATGTGTAACAGCCAAATAATGCTGCAGCGACCGGAATAGGTAGTAATCGGAAGGCGCCATGTCTGGGCTATACGCCGCGTGCGGGAGAAGTTCCCAGCCTAACGCAAAGATATGGTCCTGAGTCGCTTTCGCAACATGTGGTCGAGCATTGTCATGAAGCAAAATCACTTTACGACTTTGGCCAGTAAATGGCCTCTTTTCTTCTAATGCATCGCTCAAATTGGTCAATTGTTGTTGGTAGCGGTCTGCCGTGATTGTTTTACCCGGTTGTAACAACTCGTAATACAACACACCTTTCCAATCCTACCAGATACAGAGCAAAACCTTCTTGGCGTGGATATTGGACGTTGGCGTCGATGTCGAAGATTGACAAAGTCAACCCATGATTTTCTATGTTTAGGGTTATCATAAAGAATCCACTTTTCGTCTGTAATTATTTTGTGCAGAAAATCTTTTTTCCGAAACTTTAAAAGCAAAGTGAGTGCAGTGTCATGCCGACGATTTTTGTTGTCTTCGGACAATTCATGCGGAACCCATCTGCCTTCCTTCTGAACCTTTCCAATCGTATGTAAACGTACGGAAATGGTTTGCTGCGTAATACCAAGCTTCTGCAAGCTTCTTTTCAGTTTGCGCAGAGTTTATATCCAGCAGTGCTTGCAATTCGTCCGTTTCAATCTTTTGAGGGTGTCCAGCACGCGATTCATCTTCAAGACTGAAATATCCTTGACAAAATTTTTTATACCATCTTTTACAGTATCTTTTGTAGTATGACTTACAGCGTTCTCTCCATATGCAGCACAAATCATTGCACTGGCTTCAGTAGCATTTTTCTTCAAGTGAAACGCGAAGTGGATGGAAAATCGAATATGCTCTTTTGTTATTGCCATCGTGAACACTACTGATTTTTGAGGTTATGTGCATCAAACGCCAAATCGTATGGCATTTTAGAAGGTCAAATGTCAACGCTTTAAAACCGCAAAAGGGCGGGAAGATATATAAAATTTAAATTGTTATTTCAGTTGTATAAAATGTAAAGCTCAGAACTTTTTTGTACCTAATATATTCAATGTTGTAGCATTAACATTTTATAATCACTGTTGAAAAGCTAACACAGATTAGATGTAAAAAAAATATCCGCACATCTATATGAAACATTGTAATGTCTCAGCAACATTTTTTCAATGTTATGAGCTGTCTAGGCATCCATTAATAGCAAAATCTATTTCTAAATTTTTTATTTTAGTTAAAAGATTTTCCATTACTTTATGATTATAATACATAACTTTGGATTTTTTCAATTAAAATAAAATAATCTGTTATTAAATTTTGATAAGGATTTAATTTTTCTTGAGCTCTCTTTTAATCTTTTAGTATCTTTG